GTTATTTTTATGACGGTTTATAAGATTATTGAAATAAGAGGATCTAGCCTCGTTCACTGACTCATTATATAAGTGAAGAAGTTATTTGAAGTGTTCATGATGGACAACCAGACCTTTTCAACAGGAGCGTCGAAGACCACAATTTGTATTGTTTAACCAGGGTGTGCGGGAACTAACAGAGCAATGCCTAGTTTTGAAAAGAGCAGCCTGATTAAGAATGGCAAGACAGTGTTCATTAAAAGAATTAGTAAGGAGGTCAGAAGAGGTTTTAAAATTAAAAAGAGAAGAAAACAGATAAATGATAGAGTCATCAATAAAGCACCTGCGCCTAATAAATCCTTGGGAAGGAGACTTTGAGTTGACAGTTACATTAAAAAAGACTGACTTATGGTCTCTAAGAACAATGTCATTTAAGTTGTCATGTCATGTACTCTGCCTCTCGCCTGACAACTGGGAAAGGCTCCAGCAAACCCAAATTGGATAAGCAGAAGAAAATGGATGGATTGGGATTTTAAAGCATGAATTCCTCTCAAGGATATTAAGATTTTAATTGTGAGGGTCTAAACCAGGGGTAGGTAACTCCAGGCCTTGAGTGTCAGTGTCTTGCAGGTTTTAGATGTGTCCTTGATCCAACACAGCTGATTCAAATGGCTAAATGACCTCCTCAAAGTGTCTTGAAGTTCTCCAGGGGCCTGGTAATGAACTAATCATTTGATTCAAGTGTGTTGACCCAGGGTGATATTCTGGAGAGCAGGGAAACTATTTTACTGCTATTGTTAATAATCATCAATATTACTATTGCATTAATAATATAATCTGCAGCATTGATATTGCATTCAGATGTTTAAACAGTGTGTGTGTCTTTCAGAAAGACTAAGCCACAGGCTGACAGGATATGCAGGCTTTGCAGAACTGAAACCGAAAGCAGAATCTAAGCGCAGGTTATTCTGAGGAGCTGGTTAGATGAGGCTATTTGAATAACTAGGTTATTCAAATTGCCTGGTATACTTTTATATCCTTTTATTAAGCTTTTAGTAGAGGTTCTTGATTAAAACATTTATTCAATATAGTACATCCATCC